GTAATATCAATTTCCTCTTCCATACAATACTCACTTATTGCTTAGATACATACATACCTTACATTTTTCAGCCATTGTGTAATACACAAATTAAACTAAAAACACTGAAAAAATATTTATGAATAACGAGACTTCGAAATTGGAGCCTCATAACCCTGTTGTTCGATTCGAATAAAAATATGGATAATTTGTACAGTTTCGATGCAATTTATTTCCTCATAACATCGTTAACTACAAGGACAATCTATACCGTAAAACTCGTTTTTATGAAATTACCAATGTTTAAGGAAATATTATTGCGATAAATCTCGAAATTGACAGATTGTAAAGTTCTTTGTCGTCTGCCAGACATGTAACTCATCAAAGTAACTTAATCGTCGACTTGAAAGTAGAATTATAAATGTTTCTAACACTTTCTATAGCCATGTTACATTGCTTTCAGAAATTTTTGAGACGAGCCATAAATTCACTCAAGGAAAAAAACAATTATCAAATGAAAAGGAAAACTTGAAAATAAATTTCCAATAATGAAAATCGTACTTAATACAGTACTCGAGAACGACCAATAGAGCAACTCGGAAAAACGATCGTGTTTCTTATTGGATATCAATTATAGCCATGTTATCTATCAAACATACGCGGAAAAAACAATAGGAGTCAATGCAGATTTTAAACTTGGTAAGTGTTATACACTTTTTTTTTATTATGGTTATTTAAAACTTATACAAGGAATATGATAAGTGTAAATGAAGAAGTAAATAAATATTTGATTTGCAGAAATATTTATTAAGTATTTATACATATGCCATACATAGTGTTTGTAATCAAAAAATTGTTAATGATGTTAATACAATAATTACTTCACAATATGTATTTCAGATAAAATTAGAAAAATGTTTGACTTTACAAAATCTTATCCCATTTACATAAAAATGCATTATATGATTTCAAATTAACTTAAAAATAAATCGCAAATTGTTAAACATAAATTAGAAAGCAATTACCATGTAATTAAATTTTATCTTCGAAAACAGTTTATTGTATATAAAAATCAAAGAACAACGATTAATTTGCAATTAATAATACGGTTTTATTACGATATCTTCTTTTTTAAATACAGATATGAATCATACCAGTGTTTTAAAATTTGATTCGTAATTATGTCGTTAGTAATCCCGTAAATTTTGATTATAATACTAAAAGTAAAGAGGTTGTATAATTAATGATTTATAAGTATTTTGCTTGAATGTGTAATATAGTTTTTATTGGATAACACGAAACAAAGTATTGAACAGAGATATATATTTGAAGTTATGAAAAAATGCGAAGATCAGTATGGTTGTAGAACAGGATTATAGTTAATCATTGCATAATTATGCAAGAAGTATTCTTATAACATATGACACAGCAGTGGTAGAATATATGTATATGTTTATATAGTGCCTTACCCTTCAATCGAAATGATCCAAACATTAATGCTTAATATCAAATTTTTTTTTTTTTTTTTTTTTTTTTGGATACATTGTTTTTACACGATTGTAAAGTACAGTCTTACTTGATAAGAGAATGTACAATAATGAAATATTAAAATTTTTTTCTATATATTGATTCTAAAAAAAGATTGGGACTTTTAAATTGGAAATTGAAATCTTAGATTTCTCCTTTAATATTGTGTAAAGCTTTTTTTTTTTTGTTTTTCATTGGAAACGATGTAAAGGACTTTTAATATTTTTTTTTGCCAAAGCACTATATTCATTTATAAATATTAATGTCTAGCTATCATGTACTTAAGAAGTTACAGATATAAAAGAATTTTTTATATAAAAGGGAATATACTTTTTGCCCAAAGTGTATGTGATTTTTTTTTTCCATCAAGAATGCAAATGTACATTAACACTACGTGTTTTATCACATGTTATTTGAATATAGATTTCGTATAAAAAAATTGTTTCCGAACATTTTCCGTTATTTGAAAATGTTATTATATGGAGCATAGTGTTTCTTTCTTTTACACATGAACACAATTAAAAAGTTTGGAACATTTCAAATGTTGAGCATCATATATATTAATAAAAGAATATGTCCGAATGCAACATTGCTTAATTCTACATATACATTATAATATCTATATTCATATAGAATTTTCATATCTTTCATAACAACAAAATGACTCTTTCTGAATAAGTTTTAATAAAATGAACACAAAAATCACCTACAGTATAGCAAATTTCATGCATATATTGAACAATGCTAAACATGAAACATGAAAGTTGCAAAATTTATACTACATATTTGGTTAAAATTTTTTCTTTGTCTGTTCAATAATATTTATGTTGTATCTGGTTACATCTTTAGAAATTTATCTAAGGGCACTAAATATGCCTAGCAATAATACTCCAATTTGTGTTACAATCAGCAAGATTCACATTATACAACAGATGGTAACACCTATGCTATTCAATTTTAATTTTTCACATCACTACCAATTTTAGTATTTAAAATATTAATGAAAAATTTTTAAAATGGTTTAACCATATAAACTAAGTATATACCAATAAAACGTACTGCATACTTTAACATTTTTTGTAACATGAATATGTTATGCGCCAATGAGTTAATAATATAGTTGCATAAACGTAATTCTTAAAAGTAACTTTCATATTAAAATCGCGTACATAAAATGAAAGTTACCTTCGTGAACTCTATGCTACAACATAAATGGTCAACATTGCACATTTTAGGCACTAATAATATTAAAACGTTCGTGCGTGTGTGAAAGGTTCAAAAACCAAACAATGTAAAGTATTAAATATAAAGATTAAAAAATATAATTTTTTAAATTTCTAGTCGTGATATATACATTTACACAAATATATTTGAACAATAATTATAGGTAAATAATGATATGTGAAAATACTAAGCAAATTAACTATTGTAATATTTAAAGTATTGCATAAAGTGGCAACTAAAAAACTAATTTATTTTACTTGGTTTTTGAGTCCTTCATACACAGATAATTCCCAGATAAAAATAAAGCATGTATTTATGTTGTTAATAAAGCAAGAGAAGGTAGTTTAAGTAGGTATAAATTACTATGGTGTTATAAATTGTCTACAATATACAAGATTGAATGTACACAACATTAGCATTAGTATGATAGAATTAAAGTTTCAACTGCAATAAGCTATAGATCTACCAACATCAATGATGCATATTCTTAAGTGCTAAGATTTATTAGTTTTACTCAAAACCATAAGCTCAATTTATCTCCATGTTGAGCATAATTAAAATAAAGATTCATTTTTGTAACTGTACGTTAATCGTGAAATTCATGCACTTGTTAATAATCTTCTAATATAACTGATTATTAATAGAATCTCTACTGGAGGCAGTATGTTTACATAACAGGTATGGTGTGCTTTTTGAAGCAAAAATATTATAAATTTCTTTGCACCACAAACCTGTGAAATCAAAGGAGATATTCTTCTATTCGTTAACGCAATATAATAATATACATATACAGTAAAAGATAGTTGTTGATTTGAACTTGTCAGACATCATTATCAAATCAGTATTACTAGAGTTTCAAAGTTTACATGGTTTGTCAATATTCTTGTAGGGCAGTACTATTTTAACAAGTTGGTAGATTATATCTCTAAATTCTCTCTCTTTTTGCACTATAACAATGTAGAGAAACAAAATGAACTTTGAAACTCTAGTTATTATGAATACACTACATATATATACATCAAAGAAAAAGTTCTTTGAAACTTTTTCTTTCTATTACATGACAGAATTTGATACATGAAATATTTATTTAATGAACTGAGATCGCCTGTACAAGGCATTAAAATTTGTCACGTACAATTTAATGAGAAATTGTATCCAATTCCGAAAACCCGCTTAAAATCAATACTGCTCCCTCTTGAAATATCTACGACCTATTCTTTACTAAATCCTTTCCTTCAGGATTAATCAGAAAAAGTGTCACAAATGATATGACATTCATCATTTTTATGTCTTACACATCAATGACTTAAATCACTCTAATTAAATTCTCACTAATCTAATATTTTACAAGCAACCTTGCATCCGGAATTAAACATCTATCATCCAATTAATTATTTATATATAACATGTAATAATGCAACATTTCTCGTCATAAAAAATCGTAAGCCTTAGTCGTAATTCGAACAAGGTCATTTGTAATTACAGAATGGATAGTTTTCGTCACTGAAACGTTAACAAACCTGTTCCTAAAGACATTCATATTTAACTTTTTCAAAATACAATGTAAAAAATATTAATATTAATAATTTTAATTGACAAAAAAATTTTTAATTTTTTTTATAGAAAGGAACAGATTTCTTAACTACTTTCATAAGGAGGGATTGTTTATACTTTAAGAGCAGCTTTGGGAGACCAGTGATGGAAACGGGCAGGTCCTGTAGGGTAGGATGGTGGATGAATCCACTTATTTCCTCTGTGACCCATAAAAGGAGGTGGAGATGGACCACCCAAAAAGTGAGGAGGCATAACATTATACCATGGTTGACTTATTGGATGAGGACCATAACCCATACTGAAGGAGTGACCGAACCAGGAACGATTTCTATTAAGGTGTAGCCTTGGGCTGTTCACGTTACGTTTCCTACCTGTACCATTATTGCTATGCTGTTGATTTTGATTAGCAGAGCTTAGTGGTTTTGATTTTTGTTGCTGTTCTGTATTAGTAGACAAAGGGGATTTCTGCAAAACATATAAAACGTTAGTATTTTTGTATCTAAGTTTCGTGTATTTTATATCATTTTCTAACACTGAAAAATAAAAAATAAAGTGTAAATATATATGTAGAATAATATATATTAACCTGTATCTTAGTCGGCCCCTCAGATTGTTTATTTTCCTTTTCCAATCCATCATGGTTTCCTTGAAAAATTGGTACAGTATTTTCTTTATCTTCAAATGATGCCAATGTACAGTATGATCCTTTACTTTCTCCAAATCTGCAGCAAACCTCATTAGGATCAACCCAAAGTGTTAATTCTACTGGTAATGATAGGTCTTCATATTTCACTCCAGCAGCATTGGCAGCACTCTCCAAAGTTGCATCCCTCCGGTTATGACCATTTACACGAATACAACGATAACCTTGACCTTTGAATGGCTTGTCAGGAAACCAATGATTTTTAAAACGTTCCGTCAACAATTCCACCAAACGTCGTTTAAAACACTCCAATTGATCAGGACTAAATTTTTCGTTTTTTTCTATCAGCTGTACTAAGAATAGTACTGCTGCAGTAATCTCGTTGCGCATGTTGCCTCTGTCGTGTACCAAGTTTACAATTTGCAGATGAAATCCTCCTTTGACGTTGTGATACAATATTCTTGAAAACTAAAGTACCATTTGCTGAAGCTGATGTGGAGCACATAGAGCCCTTCTGCACGGCAGCAATGCTTAAATCTTTTATGATCTATGATGTTTTTCCTTTTTTGTTTTTATTTAGTAAACAACTTTTGCTATGTTATTCTGTCTCTTCTTTGGTATACACAACTTGTTCCAATTATCTCTACTATTCTTATCTGAAATTATATGAAAAATATCATTATTACTAATAAATAAATAAAAATTTAATATTATAAATGTTTATATTCACTAAAACATTAAAGAAAGAACATATTCATCCCAAAGAAAACTTTTCAAAACAAAGCAGTCTCAAAATATCACATATGTACATATAAGAACCTTGTTTATTTGTTTCTTTAATGATTAAACTGGAAAGAATGTTCAAACAATCAAATTTTGATTACATTGTGTACACAGGTCTTGTTGCATTACATTATTGATATATACGTATACACGCTAAACGAATGATTTCATTTCACAGTAGAACTACACAACAATATGTTATGGGTATTAATTAGGTTATAAATCATAATAACTCAGGTTAGGAAAATTGTTCAAAGAAGCAGGATTGACGGTTTACATCGCGTTCATGACGATTAGCAATCAGAAACAAGGCAAACGGCACCATTGTAAGGTATATTAGATTTTAGAAAACGATTGCTTTGAAATAATGAGCACAACGAATTATGCCAGCTCATTCTTGTCGTACCAGGTCGTGCCGTGAGCGATTGTTCCTGAAATACCACAACTCATAGTTATAGTGATTATTTATTTATCGCAATATTTTACAGTCGTTGCAACTATACGTTCTTTCCATATCCTTAAAAATTGAATACTAATATTAAATTGACCTTACGAATCAGTGACGAAAATTCCGTGTTTCTGGTGAAACTACTACGTCTTCTCTCTCTTTAAATAAACGTACTCGACCCAACACGTGTTACGTTGCATCAATGTCCATGAAGTATGTAAAAAAATATAGACTCTCGACAATTACTTTTATTTGTAATTGTATAAGTAAAGAGAAAGTCATTTATTCTGGAATAACATCTAAAAATATTAACAAAAACTAATATTTCGCAGCATTAAGATTGTAAAATAGTATTCTATGTTTTGGATAGAGTCCAAATTATGTAAGAAATATATGTTTTAATTTCTTCAATTCGTGTATAGATTTGAAATTGTCAAATTTGGTTTTTAACATTATTTGCGCAGTGATTGCATAATTTTTAAAGAACTTTGTCTAGAACGAACTGAGTGTTTTGATTTTTAATATTGAATGTAAATGACATAACAGGTATATATTAAAACGTGAATCATAAGCCAAATTTGAAAAAACTTTTAAACATTCTTAAATCTATCAAATTTAAACTTATAGCTTACTTCTCATGTTACTAGTACAATCATAGACGAGGTACAGAATAGATATAACATCTTATCGAACTTTCTGTTCAACGTTCTGAAATACCGATCGTGTAAAATATCCGAGGTTTTGTTATGTCCTCTACGATAATAGAGGGCAATGATCAAAGATGGTAAAGTCGGCAAATGTAAAAGATCCTCCTTTCTTAATCCTCGTATAAAGATATTTACATACAGGGTGTCCCGTAACTCCTCGAACACCCGGAAATGGGTGGTTGCTGGGGTGACTCTGAACAACTTTTTCCTTTTCCAAAATCCAGTTTGAAGCTTCGTTTTCGAGTTATTAACGAAAAACACTGGCCAATCACAGCGCGTGTAGAGCCCGCGCTCAGGGACGAAAACAGAGGCTCATCCGCGCGCGATCGAACAAATGTGTACGCGTGACTTCTCGGTTATCGATCGCTGTCAAAAAAATTTGACTTTGCACCGCTATTTTCATAAGGCTTAGAGAAATGGTTTTTTGCTGTTGTGCGCTCTGATTGGCCAGTGTTTTTCGTTAATAATTCAAAAACCAAGCTTCAAACTACATTTTGGAAAAGGAAAAAGTTGTTTAGAGTCACCCCAGCAACCACCCATTTCCGGGTGTTCGAGGAGTTACGGGACACCCTGTATATTAGATTGTGTAGCTAGAACATTGACGATTTCTCGGAAGCAGGATAAGAACTTTTATATCGTTGAACGGTGATTTTTAAGTAGCGAGATACTTTTATTTCACTGTTCATCTTTGAAACTTGAATGCGCACATTGTTGCAGTCTCTATTCTCGAATGCAACATCGATGGAAGCACTATTTCCATGCAAAATATTTTTATACGCGTTACTTTTGAATGAAACATTGCTTGAAGCGTTATATTTGAACGTAAACATTGTTGGAATCTCTATTTCTGATTGCAACATTATTAGAAGCGTTATTTCGAACGCAAACATTATTACAAGCACTACGCTTGAATGTAACATTGTTATAAACGTCATTCTCGCTTGTAACATCGTTAACTCGTATTATTTTCGAATGCGCATTGTGGCAAACGTGCTATCGAGTTTGCAACATTGTTGCCGCGAATCGTTCTCGAAAAACGCACACTGTTGCACGGTGCGCTGTTGTGCAACATCGTGACTTGCGCGGGCTCCCGAAAAAGCACATTGTTGCAAACGCGCTGTCGTGTTTGCAACTTTGTTGCCGCGAGACGCTCCCGAAAATTGCACATTGTTGCAAACCGGCGCGTCGTGCAACAATGTGCAAATTTCGGCAGAGATTCGCGACAACAAAGTTGCAAAACCGACAGCGCGTTTGCAACAATGTGCAATTTTCGGGAGCAGTCCCGGGAAACAAAGTTGCAACCCTGGTAGCGCGTTTGCAACAATGTGCAGTTTTCGGGAGCGACCCACAATACACAATGTTGCAAAACGGCGCGTCGTGCAACAATGTGCAGTTTTCGCGACAACAAAGTTGCAAACCCGATAACGCGTTTTGCAACAATGTGCAATTTTCGAGAGCGGCTTCCGGCAACAAAGTTGCAAACCCGATGACGCGTTTTGCAACAATGTGCAAAATTCGCGAGTCGCGCGCGCAACACGAAATTGCAAACGAGAGAAACGCACGTATTTTCGTTTGTAACGCTGTATGTCATGCAAAGCATTGTTGTATGCAGTACTTTGTACGCCAAACATTGCCACAAGCATTTACTTGAACACTTGTGTTCAAATGATAAAGTGCTAAGTCACATTTTCAACTTATTCATCTATGGATAACGCAGCTTGTACGAAAGCATCTGTATGGAAAATATATGCATTAACCGTGTTCCTTATTAAAATAAGGTTTGTACTCTAAGTAGAAATTTCATCCTATTCGAAATGAAATATACTTACAATACAATTGAAACCTTCCAAAGTGTGTTTTCTTCTCTCAAATAAAGTTACCAGTCGAATTCTTAGAACCCTCCACCGATTAACCAGCAAAAACGACACACAGAAATAATAATATCGAAGTTTTACCTACCTCTCGTACAATATCTTAAAGCAATATACGAGCACATCAGTTTCCACGTCCATTCGATTCACCCTCGTGAGCAGCCGGGAATCGATCGCGGGCACCCTACATATACTCGAGTAGGATGAATAGGGGACTCTCTCATATAATGTTTAATAACTCTTAAACTAAACCGAATATCTGAACAAAAATTAGATGGGAATGTAGCCAAAAGAGCTGCCTTTCAAATGCATATAGTTATTTGTACGAGAATTTAGTAGGAAGCTGTGAAATTAATGAGAAACCGTAAAAGTACTTGACGGTGTGCGGTATCGTTCCCGACATCACGTACTAAAAGTGTTAATAACTAATTATTGAAAGAGTTTAGTGTATCAAAAACTATATGAGAAAGTTGCTAGAGGTCCACAGAATCATTGTAATTATTGAGTTATTAATGACTTTTCCCTGGCCGACTTGGTGTAGCTTTTGGGTGGCGGAGTATGGCGGGCCGCCCTTGTGCGTTCCTTGTCTAATACCTCTGTTTATATTGTGTTCCTGTTAAAAAGTCGTAGTTCCAGTCACCTAACGCAAGATGGGGTTAGCCTTGCCCGCCATTTTTTTCTGTCCTTGTCTATCCCTATACCTTTCCTTGTCTAACTCATTTCTCTAGTGCTATCCTTGTCTACCTGTATTTCTTTCCTTCTCTAACACGCGGTGCAATTGTTGTCCTTGTCCACTCTTTCTCCTTTCCTTGTCCTACTTATATATTATTTAGAGAAGCGTCAGAAATGAAATATATATTCTTTGAATTTTTCGCTTTTAATAATAGTTATCGCAAATTAAAGCATAATTGCATGTAGGAAACAATTTATACATTCACAAGTATAGAATCCTATACTTCACGTGCGATTATATAATGTTCTGTCCTATACTTTATTTGTAATTTCAAAGTTACTTTTCATAGTATCTTATCCTATGCAATCGGTAACGTTGGAAGCGACAAGAAAATGATAAGGGCACTCTCAGCCCTCTTGACGTGGACAAAAAAATACATTCGCTGTTAGATCTATCCTGTGTTTCGTCTGTGGTACAACGTTGAAAATAATTTACAGCGTGTATAAACGTGTACAGTCAACATTCAAGAAATACATTATTTTTTAGCAATGTTGACAATAAACAACTGGTATTAATATTAAAAAAACAGAACGTAATTGAATTTTTTGAAGATGATCAATATGGACAGAAGTGCTCCAAATATTTTAATAACAGGTAAATATAATAACCCATGATAAAATAAGTTAATGTAGAATGACCACTTTCGAATTTGTGCATTTGAAAATAAAATAGTTTATAATGAAATAATAAGGTCTTCAATTTTAGGTACACCTGGAGTAGGAAAAAGTTTAATGTCCCGTATGCTATCTGAAAAAACTGGGTTAATCTGGATTGATGTTAGCAAATTTGCTATTGAAAAAGAATGTTTAGAAGAATATGATGAAGTATACCAGTGCCCTATTTTAGATGAAAATAAGGTCATTATTTTTCTTGCAACGAATGTCAAATTTTTGTTCATTTATTGCAATATATTTTTGAATTGCAGTTATTGGATCAAATGGAGATTCTCATGTGTGAAGGTGGAACAATTGTTGACTATCATGGAGCTGATTTCTTTCCAGAAAGATGGTTTGATATTGTTTTTGTGTTAAGAACGGACAATACTATTTTATATGACCGCTTAAGGGATAGGGGCTATACAGGGAAAAAATTAGAAGATAATATAGACTGTGAAATATTTCAAACAATTCTTGAAGAGGCAAAATCAGCTTACAGAGAAGAAATAGTTCATGAATTAAAAAGTAATAATATAAACCAAGTTACAGAAAATGTAAATAGAATATGTCAGTGGATTGAACAATGGAAAATAGATAATGAACAAGAATAAGTTAATTTTATGAGTTTTATTGTTTTTACTTTATGTGATCACGTTTGTTTTTATTTAAAAAGATTACGACGAAAAGTATTTTTGGCCACTAAAGATGAAGAGACAAAGTATAATGAACTATCATGATTAAATGTTACTTAGTAAAAAAATGTTTAAACAAATTGTAAGCATTAAATGTTACATTACATTATACATTTCAGATTTACAACATACATTTATACATAAAAACTAATGTATATATTATATTACAATTTTATACACTATTAAATGTTACGTTTATTCTATTATACCTAAGTCATGTTTTAATTTCTTCAATCTATTATTAATAGTATCATAATATTTCATTCTTATAAGAAGGGCTTCTGCCTTCTTGATGTCATTTTGCCTAAATGCATTTGCTATTTCCCTGTATGAAAAAATATGCTTATTAGTCTATAACAGAATAGAGCAGGTTTTTCTGTAATAAAGAAAATATTACATTGTTAATTTATTTAGTACAGACTGATTGTCTTGCACCAGCTTGTTGATTTTCTCTTCATTATCTTCTGCATCATCTATTTCCTCATTTTTTTCCATAAGTTCCATTAAAAACTCTGGATCCACATTATCTGTTCCTTCTGATATTGTTATGCCATTCAATTTGAGCATATATAATCCTCTTTTTAGTGGATGAATTAATGTACTGTAAGCCTCATTTACTAATGATGATAGAGTCTCAGAAAGTTGTTTTTCTTTCTATCAAAGTAAAAGGAAATATTTTCGTAAATTTGTCAATGGTCTTCGTATAATCAATTATACTTACCTCAGACTTGTTACTAAATTTATCAGGATGTAATTGTTTTTGTAGTTCTTTATACTTCTTCTGGACGTCCAGAAACGTAACGTCGTAACTTTTCGAGATGGCCATTATATCGAAATAAGTTACATTTTCGGGCGGTACTTGTAAAACTTTGCATTTGCTGCAAAACAAATCTGATTTATGTGTAAAATTACAATTCCAACATTTCAACGAGCTGTCACTCGAGTACCGAAGTGCGTGTATTACAATTAACGAAGGGACATAATTTTTGTCTACATAATACGAATGTAAACTTTGTTGTTGTACACAATTCAAGTATAAAACAGCATACTTTTTTGTAAGATTGAAGAGTGTTCTTCTCAAGTACATATTTTTGATTACGAGGTTATCATAACCTTATTATTCGTTAATTTGAAGAATAACTCCTACAGATTTGCGATTTTAAAGTAATGGCACTAATTAATAATATTATATATACATATGTGTATAGGTGTTAATGACTTGATATTGAAAAAGTGTGATCTATTTAATAGGTTATAGAGTATCACGAGTTAAGTTATATAGTTCGTGGTTCTAGTTGTTTTCAACAGGGAAAGGTATTGCTTTAAATGTGCAATTAATTTATTTACTGGAAATAAAAACAACACAACCATGCCAACTTATGAAATGCCATTGTTATTACGAATAGGAAGTAAGGTATCGTAAAAATTAATAATATTTCACAGATTTTACGAAAAATACGAATTAACCTATTCCGTAACCCAAATGTAAACACTTTACGGTGTTGTTAATAGTAAAGTAATTGTACTTGCAGGTGGAATATACAAATATTTTGAAGGCTGTGGCCAATGAAATATTTGAATCAGGTGGATTTATTAGAAGAATTGAGAACTGGGGTGATAAAGAACTTCCATGCAAAGCACCTGCCCATGGTAAAGTTCATACACACGCTGGGTAAGTATTTACTATCAATTTCTTTTTAACATGTACTAAATAAATACCGATTCATTATAATTGTACTGAATTTATTATTTTTTAGGCATTTTATGTTTTGCTTTGATAGTCCACCATCTGAAATATTCAACATCTATGATTATTGTAAAAGAAATTTAAGTATTATTAGAACACAAATATATAAGGAGTTTGTACCATCAAAAAATGTGGAATGTTCATTGGAAGAAGAACTATTGCCTCCAGCTTATAGGTGAGTACTTTTTTCTAATCTAAAGCAACATTTAAGTTCATCATTCCTAAGTATTCAATATACTTTTCTCATTTTACAGACCTAATGTTCAGAAACTTTTGGAAGAAAGCAAGAAACACAAAAGTGGCAAAGTCAAATTCCACTACAATTCTGGTCTTGATTACTATCCTTTCATAAAATAAATGAATTATTCATTGTTGCTTATTATATAATATAATATACTGTTAATATAGTACGTGTGAATTGAGAATAAAACATATAAGAATAAGTCAATGGTTCATTCTATCATATAAATAAAAGAACACAGATGAAAATAATCTGTGAAAAAGGAGAGAATTATTTGTTTGTTTATTCTTGGGTCGTTTATTAACTCATTAATACATTATAATAAATTATTTT